CAGTCCAACCCAGCCAAAAGCTGAGAAATCCTCCTGTCGGATCTAAAAGTTTTGAGCAACATGTCAAAAATGAGGCGCTAAAGTAGAATGAAGCCCGTTGGATGATAAATCGGCCCAATAACTTTGGGTGATTGTTGGTCAGTCGATACTTGACTACCTCTGCAAATGTCTAAAAATCGGCCACTGTTCGCTTTTGAACTGCTACCAGAGACTCTAATCTGCATGTGCCTGGTTAAACAATAATCACAATAATTAGCGACCAGTTGCTACAGTATATTTAGCAACTTTTTAAAGAAGGAAAAAAAAGTATCGGCTAAAATTGGAGTTGGCAACTGAGACTTTTTAAAGATCAATGAGCCGCTCATTTCTGATTGGTGCATCTCCAGTATTATGAGTCAGAAAAAAAGCAGTAGACTGAAAACGTGTCATCTAGTTTTTGGTAGAAAGAAGGAGAAATGATAAATCATACAAGTGGAAATGTTTTTAATTTACCAGCTGATTATTTTAATTATTGGTTAAGACAGGCCGATCGGTGCACTCCTTACGTGAAGGTGACCCAGCATAAACCTGTGTTGGCTCTCTGCAGAGGACTTTCTCACGTTGTTTGTTTTTATGGATTTTTCGCCTCTTCCTCCACTGACCAACCTGTTTTTTCCCCTTCCTCCTCCTCCTCTCAACAGGGCGGCCGAGGAAGCCATGATTTCGGATCTGGACGAGAACAACCCCGGCACAGAGTGGGAGCGGGTGGCTCGGCTCTGCGACTTCAACCCCAAGTCCAGCAAGCAGGCCAAAGACGTGTCCCGCATGCGCTCCGTCCTCATCTCCCTAAAGCAGTCCCCGCTGGTCCGTTAGAGACCAGAGAGATCCGGGGAAGTCCATTCCATGTCATGTTTTTCTTTTCTTTTTGTTAGTTTTTGTTCCACCTCACACACCAACGAACCCACTACTGAATCCACAGCTTTTGTTTTCTGAGGTGAAGGGGGACAGCCCAGGTTTCCCTTTTCACGCAGGCCTGTAGAGATTATTCTTTCTCCGCCCCCCTTTGAAAGCTTTCCGCCTCAGACTAGTCGAGACCTCACGTTTTGTGGCCCCATGTTAAAGTCACGTTGGATTTGACCAAAGTGTTTGGTCTGTGGTCCTTCGTAACACTGTAACGGTGGTGAGTTGGGACACTAAAAGGGAAAGGTTGATGTTTGTATTTTTTAAGGCTTACAGCTACACTACATCCACCGTCGCCTCCAAACTATATCAGAATGCTGTTGCATAACCTCAACATGTCGATCCATCGTTTGCCCTCCAACATATCATTTCCTGTTCTTCTTTTAGTGAAGTATCGGTGTTCGTTTTGTATTTCTTATCTATCTTTTTTTTTGAGGACCAAACTCCAAATCCAGTGTACTTTCCTGTGTGTAGTGCATCATTGTGGCATATCGTGTTAAAATTTCCGATCTATGCATCTTTTTTTTTTTTTGTGAAAACTTCTTTTTCCCCTTTTCCAGTCAGAAGTGAAGGAAGTCCAATCATTACAAAACATGTGACCTGTTTGTATGGGTGTTGAAACCCCAACAGTGTGTGTGTATGTACTTTGAGTGTACCTATGTACATATACAGAAGGCTATGTATACAGTATATAAACATTTATGTCACTGAAATTAGACCGTCGTGGTTTTAAAGACTAGATACTAGCTAGTTGTTCCTTGACCATGTGTATTCATTGTCCATTTGATTTCAGTACAAGTAAAAAAGGATGAGAATTTTGCTGTCCTGTCATTTTTCTGCTTATATGGAGATTAGAACTCAGTTACAAATGTCTCTATCATATGTGTAGGATCCTTAATGTGACAAATGCTGATGGCACCGGACTCATTGCTCAGACTTTTTAGACTCCAAAGCAAAGAGATGAAAGAGGTGACCTAGCTTCTGGATTCATCTTATTTGGGGCATTTTTTGGATTGTTTTTAAATCTATAGAGGAGAGGCAGAAAATCATTTATCAAACCTGATTTGACAACTTGTTTTACTCTGAACATTTTCCAAATGTCTGACTGTTCATGACAGATTTGACAAATCCCACACAGAAGAAAATAATGAAAATCTGCAGTAACTTTGGATCCTATCCAAATGATGCCATCAAGAAAATGACAAACTTTTTTTTTTTTTTAATCAAACTTATCAATACTTGGACATCTTCCCATAGTTGGGTAGGACTGTGTTCACCATTACTTACCTTGGAGGCCAATCATTACACTCGCTTTCTGACCAGTCAACACGTAATCATTGAATCTTGATCATTCTTGAAGCCCAAATGCTCCAAACTCTGATGTAACTAGATGCTTCTTTGAAGTGGAGTTTCTGAAATCTTCAGTCCAGCTCGTTTTCTTGCTCCAGGCAATGATCATGTTATGTTCAAAGTCGCTTTCATTCCCATTGCTCAGCCAATGTGGCTCAACACTGAAACCTCTTATGCCACCTGATGGTGAGAATGAAGCACTACCTGTTGATGACTTTATGATGCGTTCGATTCATTACTGCTAGTATTTTAACACAATACTTGTAAAGGAACACAATTTCTAACTGAAGAAGTCTTTTGTACCATGCGATTGTATGATGCCACCGTTTAATTTTTCCATAACAGACAACATTAAGCATTTGCTTTTGAATCTATCAGTTGCATAACATCTTGTTTCTGGATTTTATTGTATTTTTTCACCTGTTTATTCTGTGTAGCCATTTTTATGTTTTGTAGCCACTTACCTTGTTGCGCTGACAGTGACCATGCTGTTTTATAGTGTGTATTTTGATCTCTCAATCATGTCTGTGTAACTTTTATGTCTCTTTCTTCCGGTTGGGTTGTAAGCATTGCTGAGGTTGTCATTCTGAGTTCTTGCGACCTTCTGGATGACTCTTGGGTCACTCCTTGTTGGCCAAATACTTTGTCAGACAGCTGCGTATCCCGGTCAAATAAAATTAATCCGGTGTGGTTTATGAAATTGCCCTGCAGTCCAGTGAATATAACATAATGTGGCGCCGTTGTTTTGGATTTAATCCATTTACTTCAGCTTATTCCGGTTCTGCTGTGTCTAAAGCAAGATCCGTTTTGCCTGGTTGACTTCCTTTCTTCCATGTTTCACAATCACCAGTTGGCATTTTCCAGCTTGGCTGAATCAAGATAAGATCTCTAATTTTGCAAAATAGTTTTGTCACCACTGACCTGTCTGACTAATGACTTACTATACTCTTTGAGCAAGTGCAAAGAACTGTGTGGCATCTTGCTCATGTTGCAGAGCCATTTTTTTTTACCTTTCTGTCGGTTTCCCACACTATGGCGCTGCTCTGTTGTGCTATTGATACCATCGTAGCCAAAATACAAGGACCTTGAGGGGCAAGAAAACAGAAAAAGTAGACGAGAGACAGAAAATCACACAATTTGATCAAAAAAACATTGTAACTTTTTTTGTTTAGCTTTCTGTGAAAAAAGTAGTATTTCATTTAGATCTGGCATTTGTTGTTTGAAAGACTCGCACAAACTTACATATATGTAACTTATTCAGAATCAGCGAAGATAAACACAATAAGTGTTTGAAATACAAGCAGGTTTCCTATGCAAGCAGTCAAGACCAATTTCATTTTAAATAGCTTAACTTCTTCTTCTCCTTCCCACTGATGTTTCTGTTGCGTTAATGTGTCAAGAACCCGACCAAGTGTTGACGGCTGCTTTAATTATGGCTGACTGGTGCATTCATAGAGTCCTGAAGGAAGTTCTGAATCCTGTGCAGTCCTTTGCTCCTGCGCAGAACTTTGCTAAGACAGTTTGTACTTATTCAATATGTCCAATACAGTGGAGAAGCCATGCATAGTGACAGAAAAGTAATGACACGACATCCTTTGTTTCTTTTTGTTTGCGTTATGTTAAACTGTACATGTTTAGTAGGTGGCTGCAGACTTCTTGGCAAGTAAAACAAATGTGAACAACATGCAAAAGAGACACAAATCTATGATCTAATTTATGAGAAAGCAAACAAAAGAAGTTATTTCTTTGGCACTAGAAGTCTTTATTACATCAGCAGGTACACAGGAATGACAGAGAGAAAAGGGGAAGGCATGGTGTAAAGGAATTAAACCCTGTACTGCTGCAGCTAGGAGTGTAACGTTAGTATGTGATGCAGCTGTTCTTCCTTCGAGCCACGAGACATAAGAAGGACTTTTCATTAGACGCCAATGTTGGGGAGGTGGGGGCAGGGGGAGCAAGACAAAAATCTATGTTTTTTTTGTTTTTGTTTGTTTTTTAAATTTTTATTGTAAAATCAAAACTAGATTTTTTGAAGCACTGAGTTTCTTTAAATCAAGACTACAACCCACCTGTTTTAAGTTCCCTTTGAACCCTAATAAGTCGTAAATCATAAGCAGAATTTTAATTTTGTCATAGTAAAACTACGGTGTAGCCAGCAAACAGCAAAAGACATGCAGATTGAATTTGTGCAGCCATTTTTACCAACATCCCCAGGCCCCACCACCACCCTTTCTCAAATAAATAGTTAGTATTTTAATATACAACTTAAACATTGTTTAGTTTCTGCTAAGAACATTGAAAGGATTAAAACATTAACATTGTGAAGTTTTTTTTATAGGTCAAATGATCTGGAACAAAAAAAGTGGATACAAAAAAAATTACATGTTTTAATTAATTTTTGACAGTAGTATTAACACTCATTTTGCTTTTGACCTAGCAACCATTCATTCGTTCATTCATTCATTCATTCATTCATTTATTCATTCATAGCAACAAAAAAATGAAAATAAAAATTTTCTTCCATTTTTGCTTCTTCTTTTATATTTTCAATTGTTAAACGTTTCAATAATATTAATATTTGAGACAATCAGCTTTAAGGATAACATTTTTTTAAAAATTTAACACGTGTATCCCGAGTGGCCGTGCTTTTACTTTGAAAACACTTCCGGCTGCTACGTGGAACACGTACGCTCAACAAAGGCGGAAGTGGATCCTGAACGCGCAGCACTTCGCTCTGTCCGGCTCCGCTGCGCTACTCGCTGCCTGCACGTCCTGCTCTCCGCGCTCTTCTTTCAGACGCCGCCGCCGTCCAGCGCCACCGAGATGCCGCTGGAGTTTGAGCTGTGTCCCGGGCGGCCCATCGGGGGGAAACATCCGTGTTTCATCATCGCTGAGATCGGGCAGAACCACCAGGGAGACCTGGAGATCGCCAAGAAGATGATCAAAACGGCAAAGGCGAGTGAAGGCTCGCCTGGTTTGGAGCGGTGTGAGCGCAGGCAGTTGGCAGCTCTTCCTCACTTCGGTTTTCGGCTGATCTGATAATAGAATCGATGGGAAACGTGGAGTGAAGCGTTTGACCCACTGATCTTTATGAATGGCAGAGATTCGCTGAACCGATAGAAACGGCGCGTGAACCAGCCGGGTTTCTACTTTTGGCTCCAATAGTGGATTTATCACGCAGAGTAATCCTGCAAGTTTCAAACTGCGCGTGGCCTTCCTGACGCTGCACCTGAAAGGAGGCTGACAGGTTGGTCATGTTCAGGTGTGGCCATCATAAAGAGCCCGTCTGAGTGTCCCGCATCACTGCTGCGACCATTCCGTTCTCTTTGACCGAGCTCCAGGTGGTGAAATGAATTCTGACATTAATTTATGTCAGAATAAATTAATTCAGACAAATTAAAATAAGCGTAATAAGTATTCCTAGTACTTTTAGTAGTGGTCGCAATTAATATGCATTGTTGAGTTGTGGTTTAACGATCGTTTCTTATACTGTACTTGACAAATAAATGACATGTATATATATTTTAATCAACTTCATTGAATGCATAAATTTTCCACTTTTTAAAAAAATATATTGAAGTTAGTATTTGTTGGATCCCCAGTTAAGTATTTTGATTATATATATATATATATATATATATAATATATATATTGTACTATTTTCATACTAGTGTACTGCACTAGTGTATGTTTTACACCTTCCCAACTGCAACTGTCCTCCTATAATCTATGCTCTATAAAAAAAAAAGAAAACTTTTTACATAAAAACATAGAAACGTTTTTTTGGTTCACAGTTAAGATATCTGATGTATTTCCACATCTTCGCCTGCTCAGGACTGCGGTGCTGACTGCGCCAAGTTCCAGAAGAGCGAGCTGGAGTACAAGTTCAACAAACGGGCCCTGCAGCGTCCCTACACCTCCAAGAACTCCTGGGGCCAAACCTACGGCGAACACAAGCGCCACCTGGAGTTCAGTCACGACCAGTACAGGGAGCTGCAGAAGTACGCCGCGGAGGTGGGGATCTTCTTCACGGCTTCGGGGATGGATGAGGTGAGACGGGTTTGAGTTCGGAGCGTCACTTTCTGGTTTGAACAGCCCCGGTGATTTAACCGCCGTTCCGGCCTGCGTCCTGCAGATGGCGGTAGAGTTTCTCCACGAGCTCAACGTGCCTTTCTTCAAAGTCGGATCCGGAGACACCAACAACTTTCCTTATCTGGAGAAAACGGCCAAGAAGGGTGAGACCGTCACCTGCTGGTTCAGGTTGAGGCTGTGGGTGTGATGGGAGAGAAGCGTTGCTCGGGTCTCGAGGGATGTTGAAAGCAGTTGTTTCTTTGCAGAATGTGTTTGTACACACAAACAAAAGCAAGCTGACAAGAAAGCTCACAGAAGAAGTATTGTTTGCTGCATCTTTGAGCTTGTAATGCTGTAACTCTTGTTTTCTTTTTCTTCTTACTTTTAATAAAAAAATAACTGTTTGATATCCTTATTTATATGAAAAGGAAGCAACTGCTTTTAAGATTCTGGTCTTTCTTATTGCTGCATGTTTGTTTCCTGGTGAAATCAAAGTCCTGAACCTAAGCAGCCTTTAGGAGCTACATAAATCATTGACAAGGACGTTCTCCTGCCGTTTGCGTCAGGCCGTCCCATGGTGGTGTCCAGTGGGATGCAGTCAATGGAGACGATGCGTCGCGTCTACAAGACGGTGAAGCAGCACAACCAGAACTTTGCCATCCTGCAGTGCACCAGTGCGTACCCTCTGGAGGCTGAAGATGTCAACCTCAGAGTCATCACGGTAAATTAACATATATATATATATTTCCCCATATGTGTCCACTTGTGACATTTGGGTGGGGGAGATGCAAATAATGTGAAACAAAAAAATTATTGCTTGTTTTTTTTTTTTTTTTTTGGGAAGTAGGAGGTTTTGCTATGCTGCACATGTTGCCGCGTTACAACCACAGACTTCAGTGTGTTTGTGAAGTAACATAAAGTTGTGCATAATTGTCAAGTAGAAGGGAGATGATACTTTGGTTCTAAATGATTAGTTTTTACTGAAAAAACAGCCTGAAAAGTGTGGTGCAAAATCCATGTCATAGGCCTCTTTTGTTGGTTTATCATATCAAAAGTCAGTGAAATGGATGAAAGTTTGCAACCAGGAAAATGTTTTCCATGTGGATACTTTTGCGAGGAGCTGACTAGGAGAGTCTGAAAAAAGCGACAGGCATATCAGAAGAAGGGAAGACACAATAAATGTTATCAGGCGAGAACAACAATGTCTCTGTTCTTCACCGCAGGAATACCAGAAGGAATTTCCCGATATTCCCATCGGGTATTCCGGTCACGAGTCTGGGATCAGCATCTCGGTGGCAGCTGTAGCTCTGGGAGCGAAGGTCATCGAGCGTCACATAACCTTGGACAAGACGTGGAAGGGGAGCGACCACGAGGCGTCGCTGCTCCCCTCTGAGCTGGCGGAGCTGGTCCGCTCCGTCCGTCTGGTGGAGCGGGCGCTGGGAAGCGGCGTCAAGCAGATGTTGCCCTGCGAGAAGGCGTGCCACGACAAAGTCAGCGTGACCTTCTCCTCTACGATGAGACGCGCAAATGTTTGTCAGCGAAGAACGTTTTCGTTATCCGTAGTGACGTTTGCTCCCTGTCGCTTCTCGTCTTCCAGCTGGGCAAATCCGTGGTGGCCAAGGTGAAGATCCCCAAGGGAACGGTGCTGACGCTGGACATGCTGGCGGTGAAAGTGGCCGAGCCCATGGGCGTCCCGGCAGAGGACATCTTCCAGCTGGTTGGGAAGACGGTGACGGAGCAGGTGGAGGAGGACGACAGCGTCCTGCCGGAGGTGGTGGACAGCTACGGCAAGAAGGCCAAGTGTTGATCAGATGGTTGAAGCTTGTTAGAAATAAAAAAAAAATCTTTTTTATTATTTTTAATGGGATAATATGGATGTTCACACATTAAGTATGAGGGTAATTTTACTTCCTAGATAATCAGAAATTTGCCAAATGCTTGGTAAGTGGAGTGAAATGGCTTAAATCTTTTGATGGATGATTAATAAATATATATTTTTCAGAAAGTGGTCTTAACATGAGACGTTTTCTGGCTGTTTTCATTTCTGGTCGGTGCCTTTAGAAGCTGCTCACCACCAGGTGGAGCTGTAAGAAAAAACATTCTTTGCACTGAACCTTAACCCTCGACTGCAGGAAGGAAGTCATGTTGAGCCCATGGAGAAGCTTTGATCATTTCATTCAGATAGCTGAGATCAGAGCCTGTCAGCCCAGCAGGCTCTGATCTGTCCATGCAGCTTTTTAGGGTGGAACCATTAAATAAACACAGAACTGATAATTCTTTTTCTTTTTTTTTTTAAACTGTTATTCTTTTTCCTTGTGTGTCTCTGGTCCTTCTGTTATAAATCTGTCTGAAAGTGTAATTTCCCTTTGCCAAAAACTTCAGCCCAGGTGTTTTTGATGCATTTGTGTCTTAGAGAAGAAAACCTTCTAATAAAATCTTTGCAAATATTAGTGTTGTTTGTTTCTCATATTGAGTATTTAGGTCATAAGTTTGGTAGTAATATAAACGCTCAATTTGGATTTTTAGCATATGCTTAAAATGCTTAAAATATGCTTCATATCTGGATACGCCAGAGTCCCAGAGTAACCCCCACAGCATTCCCTGAGGAACCCAGTTAGACATCTTCTCCAGGACCCTGCTGAGAGTCCAGTGTCCCACGACCAGGACAAAAACCACACTGCTCTTCCTGAATCAGAGGTCCATCTGTCCAACAGACCCTCTTCTCCAAAAATCACTGAGCAAACCTTACCAACTCCAGAGTGTGACCCCTCTGGAGCTGGGATGCACTCTGGATGTCCACGCAACACTGCAGAGTCACCACGGTGCGAGACTCGAAGGCATTGTTTAAGTCACATGTGTTGTCACTGATCAGCCGGTTCATCCTGTGAATTATTTAGGTCATTGCTGTCTGTGAGTCGCTTACTTACCGGAGCAACATGTGAGACGAAGCCTATCAGATGAGAGGTCAAGTCTCCTCAGCAGAGGTCTGGTTGCCTTCTGCTGAGGCGTTTTCTAAGACCTGTTTGCTGGAAGTAGAACCAAGTCAGAGAGAGCTTGGTCGCTGTCTTCCTGTCTACACATTCTGTAGTTCACAAAATTTGTGCAAAGCGAGAACCTTCGATAAAAACCCTTGACATTAAAGAGCTGTGGGTTCTTTGTAATCAGAGTCATAGTAATATCAGTGGGATGAGCTCATTTAACAGTCAGCTCTCATGAGAGGAGATAAAGACCCATTATATTGATCTATCTGATTACCTCAGCTATCCCTCCTCGCAGAAATAAGGTCCCTCCCTTTCTCTATATAACTTAACAGCTATTTAAAGCAGAAGCTTTGCTGGGTAATCTGCTGCTGATCCCAGCTTGTTAAGGAACATCTTTCACTCTGACTTTCTCTTTCTGGGAGTCCAAAAAAAAAAAAAAAAACCTCATCTGGCTCTATTGAGTTGTTTTAACAGAACTAAACCAGAGAGTCTGATGATGGAAAACTGTGAATCTGTGCACAATCACAGATTTACAGTATGATCTTACTTACCTCTTGAAACGTCAATAGTTATGTATTCGTGCAGCAAACTGAGGTCCTCTTAAAACCAGCCACTTGGGTTTGACTAATTGAGTATTTGTTGATGTAACAAACGTATATGAAATGGATAATGGGGCTTTTGTGAAGCGTTCTTCTGCTTGAGTAACTTGAAGTTTGCCTCAGATGTACCTCGGCCATAACCAGTCTGAGGTTTAGGTCAGCTTGTTTGATTGTGTAACTAGTTTAGCCCGTTCAGAACAGTACATGGTGCTTAACATAGCAGATCACAACCTACATTCATCATGGCTGAGGTTAAACTCTACAGTCCCAAGCCAAGCGTGTCCTCAGGTCATGTCTCGTTATTTCACAGTAGCAAAAGTGAAAAATGAACTCCAGAGAGAGGATGGGTATAAGGGTGTTTTGTAGTTTTCCATCGTTGTTGTGAGAAAATCTCTCAGACTCCAGCCAGCATGAAGGAAACTTCCAACATCACACAAATTAGAAGTTAGATAAATTTGTTGGAGAAAGCTAGAGAGAGGTGAAGCTTTCCAGTGTTGCATGACACTGAGGTGCTGTTAGAGTTGGTCCATTGCAGCAAGAAGGCAATGCTTGTGTTCAGGTGACCAAACTATTCTAGAATATGTCTGATAAACCACATTGCCATTTGACGAGTGTTTGCACTCATGGTTATCAGTTCTGCCTGTTTTAGATGCCCTGATTGGTGAACTGCTCTGGGTGCTCCTCTCACACATCGACCACATCGAAGACAGACACTAACACTCAGAAATACAATAGATTGGTGAATTACTTGGTTTTCAGAAACACTTGTGCTCAATTTTTACAGCTCTAGTCCATATTTTTCTCAGTTGATGTCGGAAACCCGTCGTGGACGATTGGCTGTGCTAAAGTGATACGCCATGAAACAAGAGGACTCGATATAAAAAACTTGTTTTCCAAGTTCATACAATCATTTACTAGCTTGTAAATCTTATTTACTAAGGTCACATTCCTAATAGTTTACAGTCTGTATTTGTTGAAGACAGTGACAAGAATGAAGTCAAGAGTGGTCAACCCTGGTAGGGTTTCTAGCGGCAAGTCCAAAGAGTGATTCAGATATTTTGACCCTCTTCCAGAGTCAGGCCTTTGGGGGAGTTTATTAATGCTCTCTGGTAGTCAGACCAGGGCTCCTGGTGCTGGACCTGCCTCTGCCGAACAAAGCCCCCCCTGCAAGTTGGTCCAACAGCTTAAGAAGAAGAAAAGTTTAGGCTTTCTGACACACATGCTGTATGTCACCAGCTTGTGTGACATCCAGCTGCCACAATCAAGTTTTCTATTGCTTTTGGTCAAGGCAATGCTCTGTTTATTGGCACCTTTAGTGAAGAGATGTGAGAAGGAGACAAAATGAGCTATCTGGCATTTTGGGTTCCAAAGAAATTTTCTTCTGCTTTTTGTTATATCAAGTCAGCAGGAGTTGGACACGCCTCATGGAAGCACAGTTCACAACTATTGCCATATTTGCTTGTAGCTGGACATTGATGCTGAAGTTGGTATCTGATTGATTTGAGATTTTGATGTAGTCAAGGGCCACTTTTCTTTTAAAGAATCTGCATTAAGTTAGGCTTGTTCAACATCTTAAACACAATCACTATTATTTGGTGATTTTGTTCTGTCTTAGGAATAACGCAACAGTCTTTACCTTCATCAGATTGCTAAGGATAATCGATGTTAGCTGTCCAGATCACAAGTGTTTTGTGGATTGGACACAAAAGGCTGCCAACCTGAGGGCCTGGGAGAGGAGCATGTCAGGTTGGGAAGCCCTGGGGGTCTCACCTTTGCGTTTCGCCGATTATATAACTCCTTGGCATCTTTCAGTGCCCAAGATGAGAGTCAGCTCCCATAAGTCCTGGACAATGTTTTGTAACCTGGAGATGGTGGAGCAGGAGATTGATTGACAGTCTACTTTCCGCCCTCATCTGGGTTTTAGTCTCGTGAGAATTTTAAAAAGTCAATGCAAAAGCATTGATACTTGCTAAAAACCCAACTCTTCTGCAAAAGAGTGCTGCTCTTTTGCAGAACTGCTTAACCAACATGTTAAGCAATTGGTGAAATAAAAAGAAAGGAAGTCCTGTGCTGGACTGGAGGCCTGCCCAGGGTGTTTCTCCAGCCACCAGCTGCCCTCCAACCCTGAAAGGATGGATGGGTATGGACTATAACTGAAGCTCATAAAACCATTTTCTGACCATATGCAATAAATGAGAGTATTTACTGACGTGCTGCTTATAAATTATATTTGTAATTAGGTTATAATGGGAAATGACCAGGTTACATGGGAGTTTAAAATATTTGCTGGTCAGATCTGAATGTGTCAGAACTGTTGTGCAACACGTCATGTTGGATTGTCTGCAGGGAGCAGGTGTTGTACTCAGAGCCAATTACAGACCAGGAGGATGTAAGAGACAGGAGGGAGGGTGATGTCACTCCCAGGAGCTTGATATTTATAGCCAACATGTAGCACAATGAACACAAGCAAGGCAAAATTTTGATTTGTTGAAGAAAGAAATGTTTGGCTTTTGAAGTTCAGACTCTCCAGACCCATGGCGTGCTTCTCTAAAGGTGTTTGTTGTTGCTTCTCTGTGTTCCTTGCACCAAATCTGAACAAGATGATATGTCACAGTTCCAAAAGAATCAAAGTGTGTTCAGCAAGGCCAGTTGCTTCCCGTGGATCAAGGATATAAAGGAGACTGATGGTTACAGTCAAAGAGGAGGAACGCTGAAGGAGGGTGTGTCCTGCTCTGAGCCTCTGTCTTTGGAGCTCCACCTCTGCGCGCAGATGAAAATCCACGATGGATTAAGGGTTGGGACCTTCAGTTTGAGCACTTGACATTTGGGGTTGATCTGCTTTGGGCGTCAATTTGCAGGAATATCATTTAAAAAATGTTTTTCTAAAAAACACTGCATTTGAGGGAGCAGCGCCTGCTGGAGTCTTTCCTGCAGACCGGGGACAATCCGAGAGTGGTAGGTCAAAGGCAGTTTTTATTCATTTGCAATGCTTCAAATAGTTCATTTGTTGATTTCACAAGAGGTTGCTCCTGCATTAAAGTTATATTATGAGAAAACTCTAAAATATATATATTTTTAAATGGCTCTAGTTCCTAAAAAAGATCATGGCACTGTAGCTTGAAAAAGTGTAGAAGTTCAATCATCCCAGATAAAGTTTGGAGTTTTCCAAACGTTGCTCCCGAAGAACTTCAAAGTGATGCACAAATGAGCTTCAGCTCTTCTTATTCTTGCACGGAGTTGATTTTATTGATGTCTGCTCTTTGACTTTGTGCATCAGCACCAGTGAGCACAGCCTCAGGCTTATCTAAGTATATCTTCTCAGGGATTAAACTGTGTCTTAATGAGCTTTAGCTAATGTGCAATCTACAGTTAAAGGACAGCTCTCCAGTGGAGGTTCTCAAAGCAAGAAAGCTTTGTCACTTCACAAGAATAGTTGCTAATAACACGTGCAACTTGTGGCATTCTTTGATTTGCACAGTCTTAGGTTTGTTTGTATGATTTTCTTTGGTGCACCATGACCACGGCTGCAATCGTTTCCCCCTGCTGCTGGGTAAATCGATGAGCTGTGTCTCTTATGAGGCCTCCGCACCCAAAACAATAACGGTGGCTGTGTAGAAGTTGGTACCGCCGTCACAAGGGTCGGAGGCTCCATGAGAAGAGAAACGTGTCAAGATGCTCATGGAGTTGATGTTGATATTGTCTCATTATGTGCAGGCCGACATCAGCAGCAGTTTGTTTCTCCCCTTAGCTTAGAAAACAGAGGAACTCCTCTAAGCTCCAGCAACCAGCCAGTAACTGTGTAACCTGCACTTTTTTTATTTTACAAGAGTATAAATGTATATAGTTAGAGATTTTCAGATCTTCCACTTAGATTTTGCTTATAAAACCGCAATTCTGACCATTTTTTTTCTGCCGATGTGTTCATTTATCACAACTACCCATAAAAAGGCAGCACGGTTTACTGAAGGCTGAAGGGAAACTATTTTTTTTATTTATCCCTGATGGCATCGTTTCATTTGGGAACCAATAACAGCACAACAACGTTTAGATTTTGTTAGGAATTGAGCAGATTATGCAGTTTAAGGACAGATATAATCTTCCCTGTTGAGCTGCAAAGACTTAAACTGATGCATTTTGCAAATCAGTGGAAATTTTGAGCTGCAAACTGCACTGAAATATCAACGACAAATTGCTGATGACCAGGCGAGTGAAAACAAATTCAGATCAGTCAGTGATCAGGCCTGCAAAGAAACGCAGAAGAAAACAAAAAGAAAACATGTGTTTTATCCATATTTACTGATCCGTTTGATGTTTCCTGAGAGCAGTTTTGAGATATGATTCACTTTAGCCTTTTTTGTGTGGCGTGACTCTATCCACCAGTGCCATTGCTTTTAAGCTGTTTTGTCATTTGTTTTGGACTTGTGTTTTAGTTTGTTTCACGTTTGTGTAACCAGATTGTTGTGTGTTGCAGATTTCTGCTGAGGTCCGCGTTAAGAATGAAATCTTGATCTCAATGGGGGTTTTACCTGGTTAAATAAAGGTAATAATAATGGCAAATGTCTTTTTTTGCAGGTAGTAATATGAGGAAGCCTTTGAATGTGCTCGATCCCGGATTAAGATCAGAGGACCTCCAGGGTGTTTAGACCGGGGAGCAACATGCAAAACAACCGGTGAACCGCTGCTGCCTGCAGAACCCCCTCCCTTGACCTAATCCACCAGCACCACCAGCCCAGCTTTTGCTTTTCTTTTGGTGGCGGGAATTCCAGACACCCCAGCTCTGTCTGCCAGCCTGCACCATGGATTTCATGCTACCCATAAGAAGTCAAGAGATGATAGCTTTCTCCTGCTCCGATCCTTTCCTGGATCCCCACGGTGTCAACACCCGGTTCCACCACCAGGCCGTCAAGAGAAAGCTGCGGCCTGGACGGATTCTCGGCTTCGTCGTCAGCCTGGTGGCAGTCTGCACAGTTTGTTCACTGAGTGCCTTGTCGTTGGCCACAGCCGTGGCCACTGAGCCGAGAGAGTCAGTTGCCGAGTCCCCAGCTGACGCAGCAGTGCCCCAAAGGACTCTTCTGCAGAGCCAGAATGTGTCGAGTGCCCCGGAGGACACGCCAGTGGCCATGAAGTCTTCCCACCTGGACATGAACCAAGGAGACTACCCAACAGACTACTTCAGCGTGGAGGACAGGCGCCAGGGCTACGTGGTTTTTCACATGTTTGGAATGTTGTACATGTTCATAGCCTTAGCCATCGTTTGTGATGAGTTCTTCGTCCCCGCACTCACCGTCATCACAGAGAAGCTGGAGATCTCGGACGACGTGGCCGGGGCCACCTTCATGGCGGCGGGCGGCTCGGCCCCAGAGCTCTTCACCTCCGTCATTGGAGTCTTCGTCTCCCACAGCAACGTGGGCATAGGCACCATCGTGGGCTCGGCCGTGTTCAACATCCTGTTCGTGATAGGAATGTGCGCCCTTTTCTCCAAGGAGGTGCTCAACCTCACCTGGTGGCCTCTGTTCAGAGACGTCTCGTTTTACATCATCGGGCTGCTCCTGCTCATCTACTTTTTTCTGGATAACCAAATCACGGTGTCGGAAAGTATCAGTCTGTTGATGTGTTACACCTGCTACGTGACATTCATGAAGTACAATTCTCAAGTAGAGAACCTCATCAAATCCATCCTGGGGAGCAACCAGGTGGACGAGCTGGAGGCCGCTCCAAAGGTGAGCCCCATCCATCCATCCATCCATCCATCCATCCATCCATCCATCCATCCATCCATCCATCCATCCATCCATCATCCATCCATCGTCCATCCCCATCCATCCATCCATCCATCCATCCATCCATCCATCCATCGTCCATCCATCCATCCATCGTCCGTCCATCCATCATCCATCCATCCATCCATCCATCCATCCATCCATCCATCCATCCATCCATCCATCCATCCATCCATCCATCCATCCATCCATCCATCCATCCATCCATCCTCCATCCATTCATTCATTCATCCATCCATTCATTCATTCATTCATTCATTTATGGTGGCCAAAGCTTCCCGAAAATATTCTTAAGTACCTCTAAATAATTTGGTGTTTTTTTTGTTTTTAACAGAAAAAGAAACTACCAACAATTTCAATATTATGCGTCCAGGATGTGACTTCCACTAAATAATCACATTTTTAACTCAAATATGGTCACTAATTTGACAGTTTATAACATCATGTTATAAATCTGAGTAATCGATACAAAATATGGAGCGAACTGTTCAGAAGGAAATGCAAGCAGGAACGTTTGCACAAATGTCCTTCAAAGAGCACTTAACAATTTTTAGAGCAATTAACTGTAAATACTCATATTTTGTATGATAAATGGTTTTTATAACCCGAAACATAATTTTAAAAGTGGAAAAGCAACATTGCGCTGTACGTTTCTAACGTCCCATGCATCTCCTGGGTGCTAGGCCCCCTTTGTCTTTAAACCTAGTGACACCCCTGCATCTGTACATTCATACATCCATCTATCAAATTCCTGCCAAACAAAAAAACAACAAAAAAAAACATCTGATTAGCAATTTTATTCTTTTTACATTACATTTCTTTTTGATCAACAATTCTAATTTGCCTGAGGTCATGCATGAACCACACTCAGATGTTTGACCCTTGGGTCAAACATCTGATGTTGACCAAAGGGTCGTACGTTGAAGCCAAGGAACTAAACAACAAAATTAAACAATAAATGAAACATGAAACACAATCAATGAAAATACAAGACAGTTATCACATTAATGTGATTCACATGTTCTGTTAAGTAGGACCACCGTGAAAACCCAATGTGACAGAATTGCAACGTCTCTGTTCTGGAAATCTAACGGGGTTTAAGGGAAAAGGAGCAACAGACTGAAATCTGTTTGCATTGATATTTTATTTAGAATCTGCATGGCTGTAAATAGGCATAACAGAACAGAGCTGTGACTTTTTCATGCTGACTAAGCCTGTACATCTAGACCTCCTCTTCAGTCTCTTCTTTTTTTGACCTTGTGCAGACCAGAGTCCAATAAGGCTCTTAAGCAAAGGAGTGATGTAACAGTTCTGGGTCAACGTCTTCAAGTAAATCAGATTAAGATTCTGGGAACTTTTGGGCAGGAATACAAACCATACAATGTAAAAGAGAACATGGTGTATTTTCCTGCGCAATATAAATAAAAGAAACACGATCATCTGCGTTACTTTAACAGCAAAGTCGTGAAGAAAAACGGATTTGATTTTGAGCCAGCCGCCGTCTGTGCCTGCTGTTTTTGGCTTTTTATTTTCTGCAACCATTTTCTGTGTGTAGCTGCTGAAAGAACTATGACGACTATTAATTATATCATATGAAGATTCTGAGGCAATATTTTCAAGAACAAAAAAAAAAGACTGATTTGGAACAACCCTCGCAGTGTTTGAAGCATTGGTTGATGGGAGTTGTTTTTCTAAAGTCCTGCAACAAATACCTGTGCTGCTCTGCTTACGTCGACTTTTACATAAAGCGGCAACAACTAAGAAACAATTAGGTTATGATTTACATGAACAATGTATAATGTACTAATTATTCTTTATTAGAAAATAAACCGTAAACTTTTAAAGCTGAAGCACTCTGGAGTTTTAAAATGTGGTGGCGTGCTACATGATTGCAAAGTTTTGATCGCATAGGAACAACGAGGAGAAATAATTTTTGTTTTTATGTAAAATGAACAATAAGTGGTTTACATATTCACTTAAGGAATGAAAATCAATATCCTACCCATGAATAATCCAGCTTTGCAGCTTTAGCTCAAAGCTGTGAAGAGTTCAGATTACTTTCTAACTTCCGGCATGAGCTAGCTGTGCTGCGCTGCTAATGTCGGTTTACGTAAACAAAATAACAAGAGAAGATTCAGCTTAGGCAGTGTTTTTTTAATGAAAATTAATAATTTATGTGTACATATCAAGAAAAAGAAAGGTAAAAGTTTTTTTTTTTAACAATTCTTTTCCAACTTCCTGTAGTATATAGCTGTACTGCCATGCTAAGAGTAGCTTATACATAAACAGGAATTAATTGTATTTGGTTTCAGAGTTGCCATTTTGATATCTATCCTCCTCTTTTATACAGCTAAAGCAATGAAAAATAAATTGTTTTTGTTATTTTTGTTGAATATGAATATTCATATTTTACTTGAATCAGCCCCAGTTTCTCAGTCCCCAGTGGGGAACTACGGAGCTCTCAGAATTGGAAAAATATGCCCACCTTGACTTTCCAGTATTTTTTATGTCAAAAACATGAGCAAAAACACAAGGATTAATTTTCAACGCATTACCTAAATGTCTTTTTGTGTTTTAAATTAAAAATGAGAGGCCACATTGTTGGGGTTTTACCCAACAAGTTAAACCTTTATTATTGGAATACTCAGTTATTCTGTCTTAACTTTCCTGGATCTGGGTGTGATATTCAGGCTGCATGTATAGAGAGAAAATTCCTATGAAATAAAGTTCACAAGGTCTTCGACTGGCCGCTGACCCCTTCTGGAAAAAAAAAGGTCATTGACCCCCCGCCCAACCTCGACATCACCTCCCTAAACTGACACAGACCTGCCAGAGCACAGAAACAGTTTTTTTTCCTTTTTACAACAAACACTAAAAATAAAATACCTCAGACTTTTCTCCCGTCACATTATTACGCTTTTATTTCAGACCTCAGCACTTTATTTTTTTAAGACGCTCATTTAGGTTTTTCGCAGACGGTGTGTTTGTTGCTTTGTCGGTGTCGTGTGACGAAGAGTTTCTTTTTCTCCGATTTTACTACATTTCATTGTGTGACCACATTACATCACCGTGATACGACAACATTTCCAAAAAAACACAACAATAATTCAAAAATTTAAATATTGCATGAAAATTTCAAAACTTCCACTCCTGCTTGTTTTCTGGATGTTGTGAAATAAGAGAAATTACTACAGAAAACCATGGGAGGCTTGAAGTCCTTAATGAAGAACAGAGCAAATTACTCAGCTTGGGAAGTTTATGATTTACGCATCGCTTATGAGCAAAACCGCAGCATATAATCCCCGGGACCTCCTAGGAGAATGCTCCACGCACATGCACAACTAGTCAATTTATTAATTTTTGTCATATATGCCATCAGTATTTGAATATTACTTGTGTGAGCTTGTTTGTTTACTTATTTTGGTGGTCAAAGTCCAAGTGAAAGTGAACCTCACAGTCACATCAGCCATGTTCTGGTGTGCAGAGAAAGACAAAAATGCAACACTCGGTTTTCTCAGTGCAACGTTGATACGAAACACACTTGAGGTTTTTCTCCAAAAAGAGATTTAACAGCCATGAGGCCTGTGTTTGAGGTAAAATAAGTTGAAGTCAATGAACGGCTTAAAGGATGTAAAATACCGCCTGTGGAAGGCTGATCTTGGGTCCAGCAGGATCTGTCCGTCCCTCGCCGCTTTAGGACATCTGCTTGTGTTCAAACTGAATAAAATCAGATTTCAGGCTGATGATGCACGAGGACGCGTCTGAGCTCAACATGCAACCAGGGAACGCAGCCATTCAAGTCAACAAAACCTCTAAATTACTGATGTGCTTGTGGTCAAACCTCATCAAAGTGCAACATCATTGAAACACAGAGGCAGCGAAGATCAGGACCAGAACATTTCCCCCACTTTCTAGATGTGTGATTCAGAGCCTTTTGGGCAGCAAACTCTTTATTTCTGAACTGATGGGAGGAAGCATGAGAAAAGTCTTCCTCTCTGACATTTCTGTCCTTCTGGTGATCAGCTGTGTCTCTCTTCAGCAGCTTGTCTCCTCCCGTCCCGGCACTTGATGTCCAGATGCCTTGCCCTCATGTGTCAGTAGCGGCTAAATAATCCTCCAGGTTAATTCTTCCCAATCCCATTAGAGCCGCTAATAATAGCCAGACGCTCCCTCGGGGAGCAGGCCTCGTCAGATCCCACCGAGGGGGGAATGTCCGTCCGCAGCTTCCGTCCAAACTCGAAGGTTTCGTCGCTCAGGCCTCTGCTGACGTCCGGCGGGAGGTTGCAGGTGTCAGCCGGGTTTGTTGCTCAAGAGGCCATCGGCAGAGATCTGCGGGTTTTGCTCTCTGAGAGTCAGCAATCCTCTCTGATCCCCCGATCAGGCGCTTACCGGCAGTGACGACAGCAGTCAGTCAGTCCGTCAGTCAGTCACCGTCCGCGGCCGACGAGTCAAAAAACACGAGTCCGTGTCTTTCGATGAACCCAGTTTGGGTTTCAGTCGGAGTCGTTGCCTTCGCGCAAACACTTTTACCTGAGTGATAATGTTCTTTTAGATGTGATTGATAACTGTGCTCGAGTTTGATTGCTACGGAGGCCCCGAGGGGACATGAGGATTTTTTTTTCTTTTGCGTCACCTCGCAAAACACAAATGAAAAAAAAAAAAGAAAAAATCGTGTCCCCTTGGGGCCTCCGTAGATTGCTGCTCCTAGATGAGTAAAATGTCTGGATTTTCTACCAACCGGGTGAAACACACACACGTTTTCAGACACACCTGCAGGTTTTGTTCCAAAATTTTTTCTTCATTAATGTATTTTCTTTTGTTGTTTAAAGAAACCAATCTGAATTAAAAAAATACAGGCTATATATTTTTTCTGATTTTTGTTACTTTTTTCTAAATCATCATCATGATGAAAATGTCTCACTTAACCTCATGTTTTAATCCGTCAAATTATGTCATTTTCAAACATTCAACGATTGGTCATTTTTGATCAGCCGCTCGGCTCTTGAGTAAAACTGTCCGCAAAAACTTTTTCCACTCTTACTTGAGTGAATTCTCTACTGTTTGCTCGAGCGGTGCCTCTCTTATTTCCTGGCTTTAGTATTTGCGGTTGACGCCACTAACTCAAGGGGGGATTTCTTTATTTTGATTTGTATTTTTGTTTTACTGCAAATAATTAAAAGTATCTGATGAGTTGGCGGCGGATGAAGGTGAGTCGTGCCGGAGCCTGATTGGTGGGTTACTGATGGGAGTTCACGCGCAGGCTCGGAAATCAGCGATCTAAAAGTGGCGATCCCTGCGGATTAATCCTGGATCAGTCGCACAGTCAGGTGGACGGCGAAGAAGAGACACATAGCGAGAGAGAGAGAGAAAGTAGATCTGGATTGAGATTTCTGCAAATGCAACGTTGGATCTTTGTTCATTATTAAATTCAGGTTATTTTTTGTTGTTTAGAAAATGTTTCACGTCTTTATTTCCCTCAAATGCTGGACAGATTTGTAATGAAAACCAAACTGTGAATCCAACATGGCTGAAAAAGCAAAAGAGGAAACTTCACTGCGGCTCATCCTCCAATGTATGTCTTGGCAAAAATGTAATTTTTACGATGATCTTTTGAAAACTCTTACGTTTCGTCTTTGCTTCCATCCATCAGCCAAACCGCTCCATCCATCCGCCCCACAAACGGAAACACACAAACTCTTTTCAGTTGAACGAACAAGCTTGGAAATCCTCTGAGCAATTTTTTGATGTTGCCTGGAAGTAAATTGTTACATGCCTTAAACATACAGTAGCTATGGCCTTTGTGAACTTGACCAGTTTTCGTGTTGAATGATGGATTATTTCATGTGAAGGACAGGCACAAAGCCCCACACAACAGCAAAGCCTAAAGGAAATGATCAATGGAGTTGAACTTTTTATTTTTACTTCTCAAACGAAAGTGAACCACGCATTTCTATTAAACCCCTTTACTCTCATACCCTAATAAAAATTATCACAATCAGCTAAAAAAAAAAAAAAACAATCCCCTAAATTTGTCCACTGGTGTTAAATCTGAGTATAAATGGAGCTGCTCTGTCTTCAGCCAGGCATTAAAAACACCAGAGAAACAGATAAGCGTCTTTTCTGTCAGTTGTGCTCTGAGCAGGTTTTCTGTTGCTTTGTTGCTTGTTCAGTCGGCGGGGAGTGGCCGTCCCAGTTTGGTCCTGAAAACAGGGAGACTTGATCCTGTGGTTGGAGCAGGCCGGTACGGTACGTCATCCCTGCCCAGAATCTGAGATCATTTCCAGCATTTTTAGTGTTTGGAGAGGAACTGATGCGATTTTCTGAACAGAATCACATCCGTTCAGAGTTGAGCTGATTGGTCGTATTTTACTCTGATTTGTGAAGAAAAATGGGACCCAATCCAACGCTTAAATGCAAAGAAATGTGACTTTAAAAAAATAAATAAAATACAAAAAAAAAAAAAACAAACTAAATTTCAAAGACTCCTACACATTTCTCTTTTAAATTTGAGCTCCTGACTTATTCTTCTTATTCTTCTGAATTTCTGGCTTCACTGTGTGTTTGGAAAAGACAGACATGAATAAACTATTGTTATTATTATTTACTATCATGTTGCTTGAGCAACATAACATTAAATTGTTTCACAAGCTCTAAGGCCAGTGAAGGACTCCAGTCTGGTTCACACTAAACTTACCTCCTTTCTGCAAATGGATTTGGACTTTTTAAATGTATTGTTAATTAGCATCGCATTTTAGCAGCGACAGTCGATCTTTGGGCACATTTTTAACTCTGTAAATCTGACTAAATTGATTTTACTTCTGATGATATCTGATTTTATTTATCGTTCCTCCTTTACGTATCAAAGAAAAGGTTCCAGGTGACATTCAGGACGTCAGGATGACGTCTCATCCAGCTCAACAGGCCCGCAAGCAGAAAAGTTGTGGAATTTGTAAACGTGACCTCCTCGGTTATCAGGATGGCAATACAAGCCAATCTGTAATTCAGCATTTGCAACACACATCAAAAAACAAAACTTGATCTCAGTTTTACTGTACGATGTGTGACTGATCCAAAGACACAAAACAGCTGGAAGCAGATCGGTGGAGCAGCTACGCCCAGCAATTTACCGCAGTTGTCTCTTTTTTAAAAAAAATTTTCATGTACATGGCAGCCATATTGGATTTTGATGTTTGGTTTGATGGGGGAAAAGCTTAAGAGGTTTGACTTGAGGGATCGCAGCACGGGGACTTTCTGAGTGAGTCTGGAGTCTAACATTAAATGTTGAAATCTTCGTTGCTGAATTCGGTTTTTCCTGAACCGTCATTCGTTGTTAGTTTTGTAAATCATATTAAAGCGAATACCAAGAGACAATTTAATAACGTGACAGGATAAGTATTCTGTTACGTTCAAACAAGAACATCGCAACTTTATAAATTTGTACTTTGAACACAAAGAGATGAGTGTGATGTTTGTTTCCTTCTACATTTAAACAAACCATTGACTTTTATCTAGTTGTTGAATAATTAAATGTGGAAATAGCCAAAATGTTCTTTTCAAAAGAGTTTGAGTTTTATTTTAGGTTTTTTTTTTCAGGTTAAATAGATAATATTTTTTCAACTTTAGTATAGTTAACATACATTTTTCATTAAATGTGTGTATTCTGTGCTGGTGCCAGGGTGTGGTTGCAGGCTAATGCATCATGTGTTTTTTTCAAATTACACTTCCATAATTTTAGAAAGTTTTGTATTGTTTTTGTTGCACATATTTCCCAGGATTGGATTCGATGTTAAATGTTGCACATATTTCTTAAAAATTTCAGTATTTTGCTCACTGTAAGTTAAAAACACAGGAATCTATTACACCGTACCAATTTATTATCAGGTTTAGAATCAGTGAAGCCCTTCAAAGCATTGACCCTCATGCTTATCAGGGCCAACCCAAACTTGTGCAGGGCCCTGGGCATTGTTTGATCTACGGGCCCCTTCAAGCCTATTGGCTGCAACTCACCACAGTGTCTGTGATTTGTTTGTTTTTGTTTTTTTTGTGTGCACGTTTTGATTAGTTGTAACATTTGTGTTACCATTGTTTTGAAATCAAATAGTGAGTCAACAATAAAGAGGTACTTCAGATATTTTAAAATGTGACTCTGCAAGGAGTTAACATGTTGCCTGCGGTACAAATAACATTTAAACAATTTTAATTTTTTATTTAAGTTTTCCAGGAGGCTAAATTTAGTTAGAGTTGAATTTATATCTACCGTCTTAAACTAACTCCACTCCCAAACTCAATTTATGAGCTGTTAATCTTTCATAAGCAGCATATTTTCAACCTCTCTTTTCAATTTTATGCCAAGTGGCGTGTGTCTTCTGACTGGATGTCATATTGAGGCCTTGGACTGAGCCGGCCAGATTCTTGATTTGAATCTGCTAGATCATCTGCAGAGGGAGACAAAGATTAGGGTGATAGTAAGGAGGCCTTCCTACCTCAACACCTACAGCTCATCTTCAAAGACTAATATCCAAAATCTAGAACCAGGCAAAAAGATGGGCAGCAATTATAAAAAGAGGTTTGATTGTCGTGATGACTTTGTAAGTTTTTTGTTTTTGTGAACTATTGAGTAGAAAATAAAGATAAAATAAATTTAAAAAGTTATCCTTAAACTGACACTTTTTTTTTTTTACATTGTTTTATGTTTTAAAAGATTTCTGTAAAGCTCATTTTGTCTTCAACATCCTTCATCTGATGTTTATTCAGGATATATGCTGAAAGTCTGGAATCCATAAACACGGTATCTACAGGGTCTCTACAATATCTGCAATGAAATAAATTAAATATGATGATGCTACATAGGCATTTTCATTTTGTTTTTATGATCATCAAGTTTCCATTTTTATCTAGAGTTGTGAAGAGGGGATGAAGCCTCGGGTTGTTTTTTTTATTTTTTTTATTCCAAGCAAACATTGATGCTTTGTTCAAATCTTTTCTGCTGCAAATGTTGGACTCTTGGTTGCTTCCTGATCATTGCTTTCTTTTCCCTTTGTGTTTTAAAGGTAAAACTTCCACAACAACAAAAGAAAACAAACCAATAAATGAAAAATTGTGTCATAAGCCTACAGTATTACGCAACTCAATCAATAACCTTTTATTTAACCTTTGGCCCCAAAAATTATCAAACTTATTTTAAATGTTTCTACAAATTGTTTCAGGTGATTTTTTTTTTTGCCACGTAAGTTCAGTAGTGGTATAAAATAGATGAGAATTTATAATCTGATGTTTTAGCATTTGTGTTTCATGTATCACATAAATTATCTGTATTTTACTTTCCAACAAGATGAACTCTGTTCACAAAATATACTGGAGTGAAGTAAACACACTGAAGATAGTCTGTTTTTTTAATCCTCCGTAAACGTAATGAGTTACATTTGTGAATTATTTAAATGTATTCATCCATTCCTTTCCCCTTTTGTTCTGAAGGCAAATTCATCAGGAGACGATGAGAACAAGTTGACGGTGAGTTTGTCTGAAGTGTTTTAAAGGAAAACTATTTATTCATATCAAAGTTGCATATTGGTGGGTGTTTTTTGTGTTCTATAAATAATATAAAAGTCTGTACATTAATGACATCCTGCATCTTGCGGCCTCGTTTTGATCTCACAGGCCAAACCCCGGCTGCAGAGGGAAGGCAGCTGCGCATCTCTGCACAACTCCCTGATGAGGAACAGCATCTTCCAGCTCATGATACACACGCTCGACCCCCTCAGTAACGAAGGTGCGACTCGGAGAGAAAACACAAACCTTTTGCCTAGCTTGGTGCGTCGCCCACCTGTCCTGTGTCCTAACGTTCGCAGATCTATGGTTTGTTGCAGGACGGTTCAAAGAGAAGGCTTCCATCCTCCACAAAATGGCCAAACAGAAGTGTAAAGAAGAAGGCGCCATGGCCAACGGTGTCGGTGAGGAACGGCAACGAAATCGTACACCAGCCAACTCGTCACTTTGTCCAGACTTAAGTTGCTGGCAGAAATGATTTAAGACGACGTGGCGGTCTCTTCTTTCCTCTGCGTATTGAACAAACGCTCACCATTTGTCATGTCTTGTTTTGTTTTTGCCCTGAAAGTGGATAAAAATCTCCCAAACAGTTCAAAGGTCGCCGTTGAGGTCACACCGCCCATGAACGGAGTTGCAGGAGGAGATCAGGTATGATTTTCTGTCCGCAACCTTTCAGTTCACGACACTCTTGACTCAAAAATAAACAAAATCCCTGCAAAAAAAAAAATCTACATATTCTTGCTAATTAACTTCAACTTAAAATAGTTTCATGGTTGCAGGTTCGACAATACTGAAATGCTGTTTTGCAGCGATATCAATGTGTGCAATATTTAACTTCTCTTCAGGAGGGTGAGGAAGAGGAAGATGAGGACCAGCCTCTGAGCTTGGCCTGGCCTGACACCCCGAGGAAGCAGATCACCTACCTGCTCATCCTGCCCATCGTCTTCCCCCTTTGGCTCACACTGCCCGACGTCCGGAGAGAGGTGAGGGAAACACACCGCACTGAAACTATCCTCAATGCAAATTAAGCCTGCTGGCAAAATTCTCATTTGTTCGGGTATTTGTGATAAATAAGTTACAGAAGAACAATTAAAAAAAAGTCAAATGTTATATCCGGGCTCCACATTTACAAATCAGGTGTGGTTTCACCAAGTCAGGAGTATTGTCTAAAAACACCAGAGAAGCAAAACAAGGAAGAAAAAAAAACAAACAAACAAAGCACAATAAAAACCAAAAATACTAAATGTGTTTAAAGATACAGCTAGAAACTATCGTAATCCATTTTTTGTGCTATTGGCTGTAAATGTGTTTTTATTTTCTCTTCATTATTTTTTTGTTTGTTGTGTTTTGTTTGGAATATTTGGAATATCTCCCAGTTCCAGCGCTAAGTATTCCTTGCAAAACTGAAGTTTATTGGTCTGTTACTTGAAAATGATCTCAAAACAACATCACTGTTTATCCCAGGAGTGAATATTGGTGACAAGTTAACTTGTGCTTCTGGAATAAATGACAGTTTTCTTAAAGAATTATGTGCTCCTCTTGTCATTATGACAGTAAAAGTGAACTTTGTTGCAACTGGAAACACGTAGCTGTGGAATATTTTCATGTCCAGTGTTGTATGAGCACGCTCTGATTTTGAACAGTTTAAGTCTTCGAAGTGACAACTCTGAGTTTTTGAACATAGTAAAAAAAGATTAATAATAATGATGCTCAGGTGGCTTGACCAAATGTTTACTGTTGTTGCGATTTAAATTGGTCTATTCATAAAATAAGCACATAATAGTTATGGTAGATATATGTCAACATTTGCATCATTTATATTCGGTTATTGGTTAAAAAATGCTGTGTTTTAGCTTTTATTTTTTGAAAGCTCTATCATCAATCATTCAAAGCGTCTCAAGCGAGGCTGTTACTTTGTCTGAATTTGATGAAGAGATTTAGTTGCTGTCGTTTTTTTTTTTTTTTTTCCAGACGTCTGAAAGGTTCTTTCCAATCACGTTCATCGGCTCTATCTGTTGGATTGCGTTCTTCTCCTACCTGATGGTGTGGTGGGCTCACCAGGTACCTGACAAACATCAGCATCAGACTTCATTGATCTCACACATGAATCACATTAGTTCCCTGCGCTGACTTCTTACAATCTGGATAAGTGCAATTATCAGGACTGTGACAACTGATCCTAATCCGTAACGCCTCTGGATCAGTTTGTGAAACTAAACTTTGATGCACAAATAGAAAGACAGAACTGGATATTGTGTCTGTTAAAAGTATTTACTATAGAAAATGTTGCAAAGGTTTGGCATTTATGATATTAGAAGTACAGTACTTATGTATTGTATTGGTTTGTTACACTTGCATGACGCTAAGGAGTCTGAATGAAGCAAAACATTCAGCAGAAACGTCTCAGTTATTGAGCAGGTGGTTTATTGGTTTAAAATGTTAAAACAGCTTCTAGACCAGAAATAAAGATGTTCATAAAATAAATTCTCTCTTCAGGAACCGTCAGTCATCTGAGGAACTGTTTGTTTTTATTGAGTTTATTTAAATCATCTGATAGAAGCCAAAAATATCAATATCGATATCAGTATCACCATTTATTTTTGATTTCTCTTGGTAATGTTTGCCATATCAACATGACATTAAGGTATTTAGCGGACAAATTCTGTCCCTGGGTTTGGGTTAGCGAAGGAAAAACAAATAAAAAGTATCGGTATTGACATTAGTGATCTGGACCCTGTATTTACTCGTTATCAGATCAATATCAAAATATGCCGTATCACACACACCTACTGGTCGAGTCCTCTAGACGTTTTAAAATACCACCAGTGCATTATACCATTACTAAAAAAAGAAAAGCTGTCTAAAACAGAAACCTTGAGGAACACCTTTGAAATAATTAAATTGTTGCTTTATTTAAGGTTGGAGAGACTTTCTGGATCACAGAGGAAATCATGGGTTTGACCATTCTAGCAGCGGGAACGTCCATTCCGGACCTGATCACCAGTGTGATTGTAGCGCGAAAAGGCCTGGGCGACATGGCCGTGTCCAGCTCCGTGGGCTCCAACATCTTTGACATCACCGTCGGGTAATGTATTATGTTGACCGATAACGTCTCCGTAAGACACCTGTGAAAACCTGACCGCCTCTCTTCTTCTTCTCTCCTCCACCAGCCTGCCGTTCCCATGGCTCCTCTACAACATCATCAACGACTTCAAGCCCGTGGAGGTGAGCAGCAACGGCCTGTTCTGTGCCATCGTCCTCCTCTTCCTCATGCTCCTCTTCGTCATCATTTCCATCGCGGCTTGCAAGTGGAGAATGAGCAAGTTTCTCGGCTTCCTCATGTTCCTGCTCTACTTCGTCTTCCTGATCGTTAGCGTCATGTTGGAGGACAAAGTCATCATGTGCCCAGTCACCGTCTAAAGAAATGATGATTACAAAAAAAGAACATAAAGTTGAAATTTGCTCTTTAACAGTGCAATAACAAACTGCCTGTTTTATGTCTCACACTGTTCTGTACAATCACACACACACACACACACACACACACACACACACACACACACACACACACACACACACACACACACACACACACACACACACACACGCGCGCACACACACACACACACTTACAAGCTATTGATGCGGATCAAGCAGGAGTTGAAGGCCTGTTGCTTCGGCCGCCCAATCAGGAGACTCTCTTTGCACCATGTGACCAGACGTCACAGTGAGGACTGTCTGAGAAACGCTGAAACATTGGAGAGGAAACGGAAACCGGAAGACGGGAGGAACTTTTCTTTTTGAACAAAGGACAAAGACTGAACGTCTCAGTGGGGAGATTCAGAGTATGAAGTTGACGTGGACACACAAGGAGACATGATGTTGTTGTTGTTGTTGAGAAGCTTTGGCTTCCAGCTCAAGGGAGCCGTCGTGGAAAAAACTAAACAAAAGAAAAGCCAAGGTAAACTTTTGATTTTGATAGCAGCTTTGTAGGCTTCGAGATGTTAACGATATGCAGCGCTTCAGATTTTACTTTGCAATGTGATAGAAAGAAGAATATTGTCAATGATTTGACAGGAGTTTCAGACAGCTCTGCATGTCCATCTCATTCATAAAATGTGAAACGTTTCATCATAACCGGGTTCTCACGTGTGCTAAAAAGTATGAACGTAATTTTCTGTTCTGGCTGCCTTTGTGTGCACCGCTTTAGAAAGGGGAACATGTTAAAATGCTGATTTTACTGTATGGGAAGCACTTGGTGGCAAAGATGTTTGATTTTTTTCAATATGCTGACTGCCCAGGGCGGCATTCGGTTGGGGGGCAGCTTAACCACAGAACCGATTGCACACCGCTGGAGGGTGAAGATGCTGAATTTGGTATTGGAGTCATAGTTCTCTAATTCGAGCTAAATTAAAGGGATTTTTCACTCTTTTTTTGTCTTAAGAAATGTGGACATCTCTTTTTAAATATATATATATAAATCATTTATCAAAGCTGAGCTATGAAACATGTCATCTATTTGTAAAGAAAAGAAAAAAAAAAGATTTTTGTTGTTTTTGGCATCAGATTGAAATTAGCATGAAAACCTCGGTACATGGACTGGCCAAACCCGGACTGAAATGTTTCACTGTGGCTCCAGTGAATTTCTATAAATTACAGTTTGAATCTGTAAACGAATGGGTACAGAACGAGGGGCAAAACCTGTCAGCGAGTGATGGACAAAAAGATTAGCCCCCTCTGTTGTGTTGTTCTTGTTTATCTTTCTAACACTTTTCTTCAGATTAGGGATTAATTTTTTTAAAAATTAAACATTTCTTGCCAGCAGGTAATGCTGATTTTCACCACTGATTTTCTGATGTACAACAGATTGCACGTACTGTAATTTCACTCAAATGTTGTTGATTTTCTGTAAGACCACGACTCTTAATGCCGTCTGAGAGAGGAAGTAGTGTTCTCGTGTGCACTTTGAGTCGAGGACGTCTCCTCAGTCGGCCGGCTTAGAGCCTGGGTTCATGTGCACGTGTAGAAAACCGCAGTCTTTTTCATCCTTTTCCCCCCCTTTTCTTTTACAATGTATGCAGATTTTTAAAAGTGTTTTTAAAAAAAATTACCAGCAACTACTGCAAATATGTTAACCATGTAATGACGTTCTATAAATGGAAACATTGTTGATGTTCTACAATAAAATAATCCCGTTCTGTATTTGCATGACCCGTCATTTATTGGGATTTGTGAATGTGTTTAGCGGATTTGTGAGGTTCTCTGAAGTGTCAACAAAAGCATGAGAAACTGAACATGACATCACGATAATTGCACAAAAGCACTTGATTCAAAGAATTGTCAAGCAGCGTTTCCACATAAGGCCTTGAGAAGCAAGAGAAGCTGTTTTCTGCTGTTTCTGATAGAAATGGTCACCAAATCTCCACCAGGCCTGTCACAATAACTAATGTCTCCGGACGATTAATCTTCTGAAAAGTTATTGCGATGAACGATAATCTTGTTGTTTTGACACAATTTGCTTGTAATATAATGATAATGATGGCATGATAATCCAGGAACAGATTCTCTGTAAACTTTAAATTCTAACAAACGTTTAACACTGGAACTGGAAAACATTTGAAATATCCAAAATAAATCAACAATTGATATATTGGTTATTGTGTCAGGCCTCCACTATACTAACTTTTTTTTTGTTAATTGGCCAAAAAAAAAACAACAAGAAAAAAACAGGCAACTATGATAATTTGAGTCTAAGAAATTCTGGTCGAATAAGAGTGTTTCTAAAGGCAGATGTCTACTTTTTTTGTTTTGTTCGTTTTTTTTTTTTTTGCAGCATCTCAAACCAATGTATTTTACCCACGTTAAAATGTTCTTTATGTTTTTAAAGCTACATCGCGCGGTACAGACTGTGCTCAAAACCTCTTTCAGTGACGTACGTGTTGGGTTTTCATTTCTCTGGGCTGGAACAGGGGAGAGACTTTTGGTATGCGCTTGCATTTGTCTTGCTTTTTCATTATTGAATATTTCACCATTAACACCAGAATTGTGTTTTTTTTTTCTTTTAAGGTATAAACAATAACACATTTTACCTAAACACTATTTATATTTTCTCATTTTTCAGGTCAATATTAGTCAAGTTGTGTTTAATATGTAAACTGATGTACATGGGCTTAATTTAATAAATGTATTTGTACCCTTGACATCAGGTTCTCATCTAGCTTGCATGTGCAGTATAATTTGTGGGCGTTTTTCCCTCTGTTTTATTACATTTGGCTTTAGATTTCGGAAACCACACATTGAACAAGTGCATTAAAAATATTTCCCAAATCTGCAGTTTTAGCACATTAATGGATTAATGGATAATCTGTTTGAAATTTTTTAAATTTCTGTACGTACTAATCCTGCTGTAAAAATGTATGTATTATTTACATCTGTAAAATAAAAAAAAAATAAAAAAAAACTTGAGACAATTGTTTTTTTTTTGGTTATTGTGTAAAATTGTCTAAAATTCACAGCTGGAACCCGGGAAACCGTTAAAACTGTATTGGTAGCATGATCATCATGCTACCAGTGATGATAGAGGAGCACAAATTAAGCTTCCTCATGTCTCCAGTCAGATCTGCAGTGTCATCTATCAGTTTTGTGCAGAGCTTTACTTTGACACAAGCTCCTTACAGAGTTATATGTGGCTTGCCGCCATAATCAGCGCGATGGGACAGAGATTAACTGGACGTCTGAGGACAGCCAGAGCGCTCACCTGTGTGCCTTTTTGCCCACATGCCTGTTCAGTGACATCTAAGGACTTGTGCCGTCCTTGTCTCCCCATGGACGCAGAGTCTGTGCTGCTGTGCGAGTTATTTGGATGTCAGACTTTATATTGGGCTTTTCTGGAGAACAAGCAGTGAGGTCAGGTCAGAAGAGGTCAGAGGTTTGCCTTCCAAGAAGAAAGCGACCCCTCAGAGCAACATCAGGCTAAGCACATAGAAAACAGCAACAAACAAGAACTTTCACTTTAATTTAAACTGCACCCATTTCTGTATCTCCAGGAAGTTTTTTGGTAAAAATGTTTTTTCCTTCATTCATGAAAGTTACTCAGTGAGCAGAGTATTCAGAAATGTTACTCAAATAAGAGTAGCAAATACATCATGAAAATATTACTCAAGTTCAGTAAAACTACTCGTATTTTTTTTTTCCTAAAAAAAAAAAATTACTCAAGTGAATGTAAGTAAATTCAGTCATTTACTTACATTCACTGGTTTATGTCCCTCCTTTTGGCTCTTCTCCCTCCAATTCGGCAGGTGGCAGCATTGCGCCAATTACTAAAGCGACGAGGGGGGAAACAAAAAACAAAAAACAACGGAAGCCTTCAGCTGTCAGTTTCATAACAACAGTCCGATGCGGCGCTGAAACAAAGCGGAGCCGCTCTCTATAAGAGCATTATGGACCGGACCGAGACCCCGCCAGACCAGAGCCCCCAGCCGGAACTTTCTGCCGCCATGCGGGCGAAGATAGAGAGAAACCGTCAGCGGGCGTTGATGCTCCGCCAAGCGCGGCTGGCGAGCCGCCCGCTGTCCGCCGTGGAGGGGGCGACCTCGGCCAAAGTTTCCAAGACCATCGACTCCGGTGCTGGTTTCTTTATCGAGGAGGAGGAGGGCGGCGGCGGGGAAGAGCGGAAAGCCAAGAAGGTGGTGCATCAGCCAGGTGTGTTTTTGTGCAGACTGTGGCTGTAAACTGTATGCGCGTTCAAGCGCGTTTCCCTGACATCTCGATCTGTGGCGGTTCTGTCCTCAGCTCCGGTGATTGAACCAGACTACCTGCTGTGTGATGACTGTCAGAAACCCTTCATGGACTCTTTCCTCAGCAACAGCTTCGACTTGTCTGTGTGCGACAAATGCAGGTGCTCCACCATATGATCTCTGATCCCATGAGCCTCTGGGCTGCTGCCCTGAGAAATGCTCGGTTCACCTGAATGACCAGGTCTCTGTAGGTTTGCAATTGTGCCTTACTCTACATTTCCAGGTGATGATGTATTGCACAGTAGTAAGCTTAGTTTGGGATGTTATTTTATAATCAGACTTAAATTTCTCAACATCTTCCTGCTGAGTTCCTCCATGCTATATTTTTCATCAATGTCCTGAAACATCTGGATTTATGATTAAATTAAAATATTTGATCTGTAAAGATTTTAGCGTGTCCATGCACCCTTTTAAAAAAAGAAATCTGCAGTCTTGTGTCTGAAATTAAATGAAGTTTTAAAAAGTAAGTTGGCCTTCAATACATCATAGGTCTTAAATTTAATTCATAATTGTTTTAAGAAGTCTTACGTTTGGTGTTGGGGAAGCATGCAGAAACCGTGTATTTAATCAATGCCTGCTGACCGAACTTGCATGATGGTCAGAGCCAAGTGCCTCACAATCTCTTGACTGCTCCGAAGAGTTGATGGTTCAAAATGACTGGAAGTCTTTGTTCTCTTCAGAGACAACGAGGAGAAGCACAAGCTGATCTCCAGAACCGAGGCCAAGCAGCGCTACCTGCTGAAGGACGTCGACCTCGACAAGCGAGAGCCCCCTCTTCGGTTCATACTGAAGAAAAACCCTCATAACCCACGCTGGGGAGACATGAAGCTCTACCTTCTGCTCCAGGTGAGATGCATGCATCGCTTTGCGCTTCCTGTCCTTATGCTTTGCCTACAAGCAACCAAACTTTCTTGAAATCTTCCGAGGCAGTTTTGATCAGTAATTCCAGCTCTGGTCATCAGAGATATATTTAAGACATTTAGCTAATTTCCCACCACTCCCAGACATTTTGCAAATTTAAAGATTTTAAATGTACCAATGCCCAAGAGTCTAAAACTACAGTGTATAATTATGAGAAAACTGAAAGCAAGACAGATTCAACATTTAGTAGCCAAAAACAGTCAGCTGGATGTGTTGGGATGTAGAGATAAATGTCTGAAATAATCATGCATCTCAGGTGGAAAAAAGATGTCTGGAGGTTTGGGGCTCAGAGGAGGCGCTGGAAGAGGCCCGAGAGACGAGGGAGGAGAACAAAGAGGTCCAAAAACAAAAGCGCTTCAACAAGAAAGTCAGAGGTCGGTTTCCTGTCTTGACGCTCAAGTCTTTCACCGGCAGAGCCGGCTCGTGATGTTAAACCGGTTTGTGTGTCAGAACTGCGCAGGGCGGTGAGGAGCAGCACGTGGACCAAAAACACCAGCGCCCACCAGCACGAGTACGGACCAGAGGAGGTGGTGGACCCGGAGGAGGACCTCTACAAGAAAACCTGCGCCACCTGTGGACATGAACTCACCTATGAGAAGATGTAGACGCATCTACATGTGCACAGAGAAAATGTTGCAAACTCAAATGGACCAAGATAAATGGGGCTTCTTCAGGGAACAGTGAAGCTTCTTTCAATGAGCTCTTTAAGCAGAAATATGACAAAATTTGGATAAGAGTCAATTGGAAGAAGCATCTGAAACAAAGCCTGGAAAGGTAGAAATATTGCATCTGAAAATTCAGAATTTTTAAGCATTAAGACATTTAGAACCTTCCAACTTTGGTTTGCTGGTGGCTTTAGAAAATGTCACTGACCTCTGAAGTGCCTTGCAAATGCATTCATAACCCTACAATTTTAACCAAGCTGTCAGGCAGAGAACCTGGCATGCAGTTAACTGCTGTGGGTTGGGAATCAAACATGCGGCAGCTCCTTAGAGCAAGAGCTACAAATGCAGGCTGCAGCCCTCAACCACCGAGACAAATGGTGCTTCAGAAACCACATTAAATGTTAAATCATGCTTAATTTTACATCCACTTAACAATGCACTCCTGTTAGCTCAAATTTGGTTGTATAGCTTAGGATTTATTTGCAATTCCTTGTGACGTCCACATACATTGGACAATGTCCAAGTTTGTTGGAAAGAAAATCTTTTAATCATTTTTTTTGCAATAAAAATATTTTATAAAAAGGTGTTTAATTGCCACAGCTTGATCCAGTGGAACTTTGTGCCTGTATAACTTCTGGATTGTCGTTTGGATAGTTTTCATTCTAGTATTTTTGCAGCAAGAGGAAAAACAAAAACCTCAGATTGCTTCTGCCTTGCAGTGAAGTCACACGTGCTCAATTTTAAAAGTGCTTTTGAAATGAGGTGTTTTAGCCATTTTTTCCCCCTAAGTCTCAGCATCCAGTGACAACACAAAACTTGA